ATCCCAATTCGCTTCCTTACCATTTACAAACACTTTTTGAGAGTTCTTATGTATAGCTTCATGTATATTGTCATTTGCATCCCTGACTTTGAGTTTTCAACCAATTTGTGCACAGTGATTAAATTGTTTTTTGGAAGTTTGATCTTAATATCCGGGAACTTCTGGCTGTGAGAGGCATCACAAACATTAAAGAGAAAACTCAATTAATTGAAACATCATTTTAACATTTAGGCAAACACATTCTTTTCCATGTTAACTTGCATATTCAAAGGTTGATTTGTTGAGATAATGGTTATTGGGTATTATTTATTATCATTTTATCATTTTATCATTTTATCATTTTATTGCTTTAATTTTTAGATAAATTTTCAAAAACAAACATTAAAGAGAAAACTCAATTAATTGAAACATCATTTTAACATTTAGGCGAACATATTCTTTTCCATGCTAACTTGCATAATCAATGGTTGGTTCTGCCAAATTAATAGTTATTCAGTATACAATTAAGTGATTAATTAATGGGTAATAATACTATCATAAATAATAATTCTATCGTACCTTGTACCTTTTCATACGAAGAAAAATATGTATAGATCATGAATGTCATCATGAAAATAGATTCTAAGTGGGTTGAAAATATCCAAATTATTCGGATTTTTTTTTATTTTTTGGAAACGTGATAAAAATTTAAACCAATCAAAAATTAGTTTTGTGTGATGATTTGAAATAAGATCGACAAAATTTGGCCAATGAAATAGCTTGTTTTACAGTGTCCATTATGCTCCATCCTTTATGATCTGGTATATTAGATGCTGAATCAAAACTTATATTTGATATAACAAAATTTCTTTGTGATGTTCTTGAACAGAACAATCATTACCAGCAATATATGATCCTCCGTTTTGTGAGTGGATAGAGTGCCCAGAGAAATTAGAAATGTTGACAAAGCAAATGTTGGAGGCATTGTATGTAATTTAATAACTCTATTTTTAAACTGAATGTGTTGGATATTAAAAACCAAGGGATTAATATATTATTAGATGTCAAGTTTGGTTTCACCAAAATATAGATCTTATATTTTAAATCAGATGATAATAAATGAGGGCTTGTATGTTTGTGAAGTTTTAGTGTCAATATTCAGTATTGCTTTTGGTGATCTGCCAATAAAAAATGAAACGTGGGGAGAATGGGAGGGAGAATATAATGACCGGGGAATTGAATTGATAGATCAATATTAATATTAACTATTTTTTAATTAGGGGTGATATGGCGAGTTACCCAACACCATGCAAAAGGGTGATTCTTGTAGTACATAATTATATTTTACTAAGTTTAATAAATTTGAAGTGAAGTCTTAGTTTAAAAAAAAAAAAAAAAAAAAAATGTTTGTTGACTCAAGTGACTATACCATTACATATGGTATCAACTAACCTAATCTATCCACTCATCCCATTTGTTGCTAACATTAAAGGTATTTTTTAATCTGATAAAGATGTATTATAAGAAGAGTCTAGCAATTTATTATCATTTTTTATTTATAACAGACTGTGATTATATGCACGCTGCAAAAGCTTATAGCTTATCTTGAGAAAACAAAACGGAAAATAATGATCTTTCAGATGAAAACACAGCCAAAACAATTATAGCACCAAAGAGACGTAAATTTGAGTATTAATTTAAAACAAGCAGGTTCAAAACTATAACTTTATATTGTAAACTATTTTTACTGTTTCAATAAACTGACCCAGGTAGTCGAAATTTCCATACAATATGAGGTGCAAGCTGGCATAAAGTGCCGAAAAATAAAGCCAATTAATTGATACACATATTAAGAATGAGCGAATCATACAAGTAGAATATTAAATGATGAAATGGCTAAATTAATTTTAAAAAGTAATGATAGTTTATCAAGTGATCTTGAAATATTATCAATAGCAGCAATATTAGAAGATAAATGATTATGGTGAGGTTAAAATTTTGATAATTAATTTATTTTCAGTCGTTTCTTAAAAATTATGTGTATGAAACAAAGCTCCGTAACCTTTAAAAATAAAAAGTGAACAAGAAAGCAGTTGCAGAAACCAATATTCCTACTAATTCAAAAAGTTAAATTTATATATTGGATAATTAAAAATAAGGAATAATAATCGGTTTTAATAGTTTGTCATTTAATGCATTTGCAAACTTATACAAATGGACCAAATTGGATATAGTGAGAGTGATAGGTGTAAAATTGGATACATGATTTCAAAATACTATACTCACCTGCCAAAAGCATCCGAATACTTTTGGCAGGTGAGTGTATTGTGTTGAACCTTTAAAGATCATGTATGCGGAATCTTCAAATCCTAATTCAAGGAACGCAAAAGAATTAGTTCAAAGAAAAACTCTTTTGTCAAACACTGAAGATAAAAATCTCAATAGTATAGTCACATCATAATTGGTAAACTATATCGTACCTTGGATAAATCGATTCAATCAATAGTTTTTAATTTGTTTGCCAATTTAATTGTCTTCATCATTAAATATCCCTCGTATTTATTTATAAATAAATTACCAAATTAACAAATTTACGAATGAAAACGCAGAGTGAGCTTTTTAGATATATTTAATACAAACGTAGGTTGTGTTATACTCAAATTTATTATTACTACTAACGTAGTCTCCGGCGAAAGTAATGGCGGTGATAATTTTTTAGAGATATTTCTTTCGGTGCACAGAGTTCAGCTACAACGCCCTTATCTACTGCTGTCTAAAATTAAACGAATCCCGAGAAGAAGCCTGCTCACTATTTCTAAATGCTTTGAAGTTTATTTTGACAATTCATAATTGTCTATTCTATGTCTATTCTACTGTAATCAATACCTGTATAGACCTTCTCTCCCCTTACACTCTTGATAAATACAACCGAGGATACATTTTTTGGTAAAAAAATATTTTGTATTATTTTATTTAAGAGTACGAAACCAAATGAAAGATTGGTTATACTGTATTTATATTTGTGGTTAGGTGAATTCATTCATTCAAAAATCATCTAAAAAATTGTTGTCAAGAAACATCAACAAGTCTTTTAAAACACAAAAGAACAATCCATGATTTTATTTTCTTATAAAATTTTTCTGCGCACTATAAAATAAACAAAATAGAGATTAAGCATAATAAATTGTAGTGACGATGAACGGGTCATCATCGCTCGTTTTCTTCCTTCTCCCACTAAGTCTGTATAAAAATTACGATTTTTAATAAAAGCCAAAAAAATCGGGTTTTTTTATAAAGCAACAAACCAATTATAAAATAAAGCATTGACTAAAAGTAGTTTCTCACAAGACCTTTTTGCGATTAAAACCCTTGACGAAAGTAGTATGCAAAAGCAACGATTTTTAGTTTTTTAATAAACACTTTTCATGTGATGATAAAATATTACATATAGTGTATATTTGATCCATTCAATCATATACAGTAATTCATAAATACAGTATAAAAAATATCTACGTTTAAATAAAACATTAATAGACGAGGTAATTGATGGTAATAATATGTGAAAATATTATTATTGTTATTCAAACCGTAAATTTTGTCCAGCTGATTTATTCATCATTTGTGGATAGATTAATAAATTCAAATAATATTAAATAAACAATCACGCGTGCAATTATTATTATTTTTTATAAATATTAATTTGGGATTTTAAATAATAATATAAACACAAATGATGAATAAAATTCCATGATCAGAAATAAACCAACAACTTCATGAAGAGTCGATAAATGTCCCAAGTAATTTATTAGATAATGATGTTATTATTAATGCGGGGGAAGATCCTGATGTTGATATTTAAATCACTGTTATATTTTAAAATGAGATCACCTTATTTCCGGAAGACTTTATCAACCGGGTAGGCTATACAAGAGAATGGAATGTATACGCTTAGGAAGCCAGATATTTCGTCTCTGACATTTGGAATTGTATTAAAGCATGATATTTATTAATTGTCATCACGATTACCTTTTATTGATTTAATTGAGGTTATAAAATTAGATATATTTATTAATATCAAAGAATTGAAGTTGTTAATTTTACAAAGCGGTTTGATTGGTCGAAAACATATTTGGATAGTAATAGTAATAGGTAAAAAATCATTATTTGATCTATAATGCAAGTCAAAGCATCCAATCTGTCCAATTTTATCAGACATGGTTGGAGAAGCTTTATTTCAAGAACCTGATTTGTTATTAAAATCAGATGTTTATGTTGATTTAAGTTTTGATACGTTGGTTTGGTTACTTCAACGAGATGATCTGTCAATGAGTGAGATGAAAATCTGGAGGCATGTAGTTCAATGATATTTGATAGGAAACTTGATACAGATCTCAAAAAAAATAGAACAATCAAGACTCTGATGACTTTCAAAAGGTTATAGACCAAATATTGTCTTATATTCGTTGGTGTCAAATTGAAGTAGATAATTTTAATAAACTCCAAAAAGATTCTGCCCGATAATTTGTATGAAATGAAAATGATAAGGTAATGCCATATTATGTACCTTCACCAATTTAGCAGAAATTTCCAACAAGAATATCACCAACGCTCGTTACTTCTCAACAAGCTGCAAAAATTGCAAGTTGGATCGATGAGTTTGATCTTGATACATCCAAAGAATTTTATGATATCCCATATGATTTCAACTTGGTTGTTAGAGATAGCAGAAACGAAAGCTTTTATCAAAAGCACATTTTCACAGCATAAATATGTTGTAATCAAAAAATTAATTGGTGGTTATAACCCTTTTGATTGGAATAATAATTCATTACCATATATAAATCCTAAAACATGTGAGGAATTTAAGAATTGTTTTACTTTTTCAATAATGAGACCGGTGAAAATAATGAAAAGAAAGAAGACACAGATAATAATTAGTAGAGTACTGTATCCAAAAAATGCTATATATTGTAATGTTTTTTGTTCACTAGCACTTGGTAAAGGTGATTTATTTCCAAAAAAGTCGTTTTGGAATTGGACAATTTTATGGATATGTAGACAAACTAATTTTGAAAAAAAAAGTATTAAATCTAATACAGAACAATTATGATTGATGAATTTGAAGTGTTTCGTATTTTATCATAATTTTCAAATGTTACTATAGTGATACCGAAAAGAAGGTAGGAAAGTAATGACGCCCAAACAATAATTAAATTTAGCAAATATATAAATCTTATTTAACTTTAATTATAAAAATAATTATTTTTTATATATACTTAATTAATAATCTTTTTGTAATACTCAATAATAATAATAATAACAATATAAAATGTAATAATATATATTTATTAATTACTTAACAATGAATAATAATCTTTCAAATTTTCTAAAATTGTGCTCAATGTGACCCAATAATAATAAATAATTGAATTCTTAACCTGTCAATTAAAAAAATATAAATGAGTATAATGTATCATTGTATAATATCATGGTAAAAATGATTGATATAAAATATTTTATCAGAAAATAAAATTTTTCTACATGCAAGAATTTTCAGACAATGTAGATAAGGAGTTATGTTTTTAAAAACATGATCATCATATATATATAATATATGTGTGTGTTGATTAAAGAAAAAAAAGCAATTAAAACTAACCTTTCTTTTTAGATACACCAACAGTTCTACCGCGTCTACCTGTAGTCTTTGTATGTTGACCACGTACACGTAAACCCCAATAATGTCTTAAACCACGATGAGCACGGATCTTTTTTAATCTTTCTAAATCTTCACGAAGTTTACTTTCAAGACCATTAGCCAACAGTTGTGAATTCTTTCCATCAACTATATCTTTTTGTCTATTGAGAAACCAGTCAGGGATTTTGTATTGTGTAGGATTTTGAATAATGGTCACAATACGTTCCAATTCTTCATTGGATAATTCACCAGCTCTGAAAATATTTAATTTGAATTAATCGATATGATTTTCATTATCAAGACAAAATAAAGGTAAATACCTTTTATTTAGATCGACATCAGCCTTTTTACAAACCAAATTAGAATAACGACGACCAACACCCTTAATTGCGGTTAAGGCAAACATTACCTTTTCCTTACCACTAAAAATTCAAATTCAAATGCCAAAAATAAATTAATTATTATTAATCTACAATTAATACTGATATGATGATCACTATAATAACATTAATGCTTACTCAACATTGGTGTTTAATAAACGAAGAATGTGTTGAAACTGATTTTTATCAGGAACTACAAGTGACTATTTTCCAAATTAAAAAATAAATAAATTTAATTTTATAAAATTAATTTCGTTAAAAATCTCCTTGTAAATAACAATAATTACCATGTTGACAAATCTATTATTACGATTATTATGGAATTGAAAAAGAGATTGAAATTATTTATCAAAAAAATTTTTTGGACTGATTGTTTTAGTAACGATTTACATTACATTTAAAATATTTTATTTTTATAAAAAACCAAATAAAAAAAAATTTATATATAATATATACTGATGATGATGATAAAGATGATAAAAAAAATTAAAATTAAAAATATCCATTATTATTGCTATAAAAAATAATATAATTTTTATTATTAAAAAAATTAAAATTTTATATTAATATGAATGTTGATCAAGCATAGATATCTTCCGACCAGTTATTTGTATTAATATCTATTCTTTCAGTTAAAGCTTCTTTATTAGAAATATAATGATCATTCAAATATTGAACAGAAATAGGATCCAGGGGGTCCATTGAGTTCACCTGAATTTGAGAAGGAAATGTTGTTTGTGGTGATGGTAGTGCTGATACATAGGAATTATTGTATGAAGCTGAAGGTGACGATACACCTCCAAAAGTATTATATTGTGGTCTTACAAGAACAAAAAAGGCGGAGAAGATCAATACACTGCTTTTATTTTTGAAAAAAAGTTTTAATATTATAATTATTTACCGATTTACTGCAGTATTTTTATCTGTTTGAGTTCTACCCCATGATACTCGTACTCTTGAATTACCTAAAGATAAAATAATGTGATATATATATATATATATGTATATATATTTAACTGTTGAAGTAAACCATAATGAATAATATTTTCATAATTAATAATTAATGTTAATTTTTTCAATACCAATAATCTGATTTTGCATCTGATTGATAGCCGTTTCAGCACTTTCTCTACTAACATATTGTATAAATCCGCAACTTTTACCGATTGGAATTTTTACATTTCTAATTTCACCATATCCTTGAAAATAACTATTTTTGAGATATATATATAACATTTGATATAACAAAGATAAATAATTAAATATATATATATATATATATATATATGCATAGAATACGATAATAACAAACCTTTTAAGTTCTTCTTCACCATTAACACCAGTAATCCCTCCAACAAAAACTGTAGTGTTATTTGGATCATTATCATATTTATTAAAAGATGGATTTTGAGCAGTTGTTTGTTGAATATGACCACCTTGTAATAAAAGTTTATTTTTAGGAGTTGCCGTGGAAATTCGTATTGGTCGATTTCCACAAAGTGCTCCTTGCATTTCTACAAGAGCACGTTGTTGATCACTTTCTTCACCAAAACGAATAAATCCATACCCTAAATAATAAATAATTCAAAAAATGATTAAATTATTTTTATTGAATTGACTATTTTTTTTTTAAAAAAAATTGCTCACCTCTAGATATTCCACTTATTGGATCTGTCATTATTTTTGCAGATTTACAGGAAGGATAATGTTGTTGAAAAAATGTCTAATAACAAGATTAATATTATTATCACATTAATAAAATGATGTTATAACAATAACAATTTTTTGATAATTTTCTACATATACCAGTAACATCCATTCATTAACTTCTGGCCCTAAATCACCAACGAATACCGAAAAATCTGCTCCACGATCATCTCTAAAATTATAAAAATAGATTATTTAATTTATATAATTATAAATACATCTACATTTGAAAATTTTATTGTTAACAACTTCCGAAAATAGTAGGCACATTTATATATGAACTTACTTTCTATCTGTTGAGCCGCCTCCTGTTGCCCAATTAAGTTTGAATACTCGATTAGTACCAGGAATAGCTGCTCCGCTTACTGTGGTCAATGCTTTTACTGCCGAAGCATTGCTCACAAAATCTACAAAACAATAACCTGCATTTGCACTAGAAAGGATATTTGGAAAATTTTTATTTTTTTATTTATTATTTATTTATTTATATTTATATTAAATTATTGAGAAAAAAATTTTTTTTTATATATTGTATATAGTATTATGTACATACCCAGTAAATCTGTCTCTAATTATTTTTACATTAACATTTTCACCAAGTTGGTACCAAATTTGCCTTAAAAAATTTTCGTCCATCCAAGGTTCAATTTCTCCCATCCTAAATTAATGAATGATTAGTACTTTTTTTCAAATTGGTAAACAAATCTTGAGAGATCTGTAAAAAAAAATTACCATAAAGTGGTTTTATTATCAACTACACCACTAAATGCTTGTTGCATTTGTGGTGCTTGTAATTGCTGTTGTTGTGAATATGGATCATATTGATAATTCATATTTTCAATAATATTATTAATAATGAAAATAGAAAATATGAATTTTAGAAAATATGGACATTCGTGGTGAACAAATAAAAAATTTTTTTGAATTAATAAAATAAATACACGTTCATTATTTCTATTTAGGTTACACGGCACGTTTTTTATAAAAATAAATTTGACATTTTAATTGGCTGATAATCAAAAACAGTATTTAATTACTAAATACAAAGTAAAGAAGAATGCCGATAGTCCACTTATGTAAAAAGAAGGGTCGTTGACTGTGTGAAATAGTAATAATTTAGGGCTTTTTATTATACATTGCTTATTATAAAAAATGAAAAAAAGCAGTATATAGCAACCACAAACATTACACTACATTAATTTTAATTTATAAGGATTCATTTAAAATCCTTAAATATTAATGAATGACGTTTATTGTTTTTTGTGAAGTGACGGGAATAACGACAATATTTCTTCTTAAAAATCCCCTTGCATTGTCAATCTTTCAAGGCTTTCATCTGAATTATACGAGCTTCTTTGATTCTAACGAAAGAAATTAATTAATTCCATTTTCAATTTGAGGCGTAATCATTTGACAGTCTGATGATTGATTTTCAGGCTTTGGTGTTCAGTTATAATACCAAATTTTTGGCTTGGAGAACATACATATTAAACAAATAATTTCAATAAGGCAAAAATCATACAAGCAACCATATCACCCGACTAAGGTTTCCGGTCCAAACTATTTTGAGAAAAAGTAGCTTTGACAATAGTTTGGGCTTTTCGATATTTTTTATAAGAATGAACATGAAAAAATTATATAAATCAATCTATTTTTAATTTAAATAATTTAAAAATAATTTCTCCCATTAAAAATAGTTTTGGCCCATAAAAATTAATTTTTGCCCAAAGTGTTTCGGCAATTTCGACCAGAAACCTTACACCCGACATAATCATTCCGCCCAGTTTGATAGTGATAGTAATAGTTTTTCGAATATTATTATTATTTAGTGTTCGATCGGCACCATAAAAATACGCACAAAACATACCAAGATAGTATTTTTTTTTTTATACTGTATTTCCATATTTTTTTGGCTATTCCGCATGTATTTCTTTATTTTGTTTTCTATAGAGCTTTTAACCTCAGGTTACTATCGTAGGCAGAATTGCAACTATAATAGAAAATGTCTTTTCAAACTGGATGGGAAAATCCAAGTAAAAATTATTCCGAGTCTTCATAAAAATTTATTAGATGTAGAATAAATAATTGGTTTAATAATAATATAGTTAAATAATTCAACCAAATGAAAAAAACAAGAACGATCAAAGGACAAGGTATACTTGTAAGCAAGCTTCTTTTTATATCTCTTTTACATAATACATTAGTACCTGTCTATAAGCATACTGTTGGGCCAAGAAATCCTATGCTATTAAGCAAGTTATTCTTAAAAGCAGGTTTTGCATTTTTTTTCTTTAATAAAAATCAGTTGACATATTTATTGTTGAATATACATATTCATAAAAAAAAAAGATGGGAATGACCTATTCTTTTACATTTTAAGTAAGCAATTGTTTAGTTAGTTATTCTCAAAAAGGCCTGGTCAATTTTTAAAAGACAGTGTGACACGGAAATTTTGTTGATACACATGATTATGCTTATGTACGTCCATAAGTTTATTTTTTAATGCTTGTATACAATATGTAGTATGCTTATAACACATATGGCCCAACTCGGGCCGAAAAAATTCTATGCTTTTAGACAGGTTCTACTGTACATAATGTCTAAATTCTTATTGAAACACGTGATGGATTAAACTTTAATGATCGAGAATTCCATTGTGAGGTTATATAGGTTTTCCAGATTATTTTATTAATTACATTTTGGAGAAAAAAATTTTTTTTCACTCATTATATATATTTTACTTTCAAAAAATATTTAATGCAGGTGTATATGAGCAATGTAGGTTTTCACTAATTTAACTTTCCAATAGACCTTTAAAATTTTTAAAATTTTTTACAGTTAGTAAAGGATCAGAAGAATATTTTAAAGTTATAGATGTACTTTATTTGGCCAAAGATTAAATAGATTTATTTTTATTTCTTTATAATAACCAGATTGTAAGTATATTATAAATTAATTTTATGACATATTAAAATATTAACTAAATAAATTTATTTTTTATTTCTTTATAATGACCAGTTGGTATGTATTATAATTTTATCATCCAATTAATAGGTTTATTTTTCTTTATTTATAATAACCAGCTGGTAAATAGTATATTATAAATTTACACATAATAAACTTTATTAAAATATCATTACCTAATTAATAAATTTTTTTTATATTAACCAGGGAGTATAAATTAACACTTACAACACAAAATCATTTTTATTTAAAGCATCAACTAATTAATAAATTCGTTTCTTTATTTCTTTATAATAACCAGCATGTAAGTAATTTTTACAACACAAATAATTATTTATAACATCATTTAATCATCCTAAATAAATTTATTTTTATTTCTTCATAATAACCAGCTTGTAAGTATTATAATTTTTACAACACAAAATAATCTTTATCAAAACATCATCTAATTAAATAAAATTATTTTTGTTTCTTTGTAACAACAATTGAAGGTAAAATAATTTATAAATTTATCTTTTATAACTTTTACTTATTACATTGAAAATAATTTCTGTTTCATTTTTAATTTTTCATGATGAAAAAAAATTATTTAAATAATAAGATAGTATTAGGGAGTTTAAAGAAAGAAGAAAAAGATATGGAGTCTGTTCTGTTTGTTCAGAATTTAACACTAATTACCAGTGGTGTCAATTATGTGATCCAAAATTGTTAGCTCAAAGTTGGACTAGCAGTGGTAATGAAAAATTAGATGAAATAATTAGAAATACACAGCTTGAAGCAGAAGGATTTGATAGTTATTATTACCTTGAATGGATTCCTTATGATCAACTTACAATTGACAAAGAAATAGGTAAAAGTGGATTTGCAACTGTGTATAAGTGTTATTGGTCAAATGGTTCTAGATATGTTAAAGGGAATAAAAGATATTATTGTGATAATGGACTTGTAGCATTAAAAAGGGTTAATAATTCACAAAATATTCATCCCGTTGTTCTTTTGAATATCCATAATTTTCAAAATTCCTAAAGAATCATTCCAAATTTCAATAATTTTATGAATTTCTCCAGCAGTTGGACGTTTATCTGGATTTGCATCCATGCATTTGAATGCTAGTTCAATATAGAATTTTGGTGTATTGTTTGAAAATCCTTTCTGATGAATTTTTAGTGGAGGTAAATAATTTGATATAATTAATTGACAATTAATGATTTTATAATATATTAATTTTATCAATTTTCATATAAGCTTCAAAATCACATTAAGTTTATAGGACCTTATCATAATGGCATTTCACAAGATCCAAATACAAAAGAATATGTTTTCATAATGAGATAATGCAGACAAAGGAGATTCAAAAAATTTTTTAATATCAAATCATACAGGATGGAATTAAAATGCTTTATAATATTATCTCAGGTTTAAACATCTTTCATGAAGAAAGACTTATACATTGTGATCTTCACAGTGGTAATATTTTATATTTTGAATATTTATCCCAGGAAATGATTGCGGATTTGGGGATTATCAGTCCCAGTTGATCAAGAAACATTAAGTCAAAATGATATATTTGGAGTACTGCCATATGTTGCACCAGATGTGTTAAATAAGAAACTTTACACACAAAAATCTGACATCTATAGTTTTGGAATTTTAATGTCAGAAACATCAACATGTCAACAACCATTCAAAGATCAACCACATGAACTAGATCCTGCTTTCAAGATCTGTGATGGCTCAAGGCCTGGTTTTTCAGATAATACTCCAGAATGTTATATTAAGTTAGCATACAAATGCATGTGCACTTAAATTATTAAGCCATACTCTCTTTGTATTTTTTTATTTGCTTAAAAAGGACCTCCGATGTATAATACATAAAGAGAGAAATTTTCATACTTTAGGTGCGACAATTAGAGAAATTGACAAAAGAAGGTCCATTTGAAAATATTATGCTAAATGGGAGGTTTAAAATGTTCAAGGTGGTAATGTATATATAAAATTAACTATCAATTAATTTTAAAATACAACGATTCTAAGGAATTTTAAAATCAATCGCGTGTATTATTACAATATTAGAAATTAATGATAGTTTTTTAATATCTCTCTCACTGGGTCTTTGGTTAAATTAGTACTATCGCTAATTTCTAATATTGTAATATAATATACTTCTGGAAAATTTATCACGTGATTTTACCGGTCATAGTAATGTTCAACTTTGAATCTTAATAACTTCATAAAATTTTATGATGATGAAAAAATTAAACTGATAGAAACAAAACTTAGGTTTAATTTATAGCTTGTCTTTTCTAAAATCCCTAATTTGGCTCTCAAAGATTGTCAATTTTAGTTATAATTTATAATTGCAATCAAAATAATTTTTTGTGTACATGGTGCAGTCAATTTTGAACAATGATTACCACCATCATTTGTATAACTTTTTGTAGATAAATGGCCTGATAAAGTTGTTGCTGCACAAGCCATTATTACCAACAACCTTACAAATATATTAATGAATTAAATAAATAATTTATCTGAAGTGAAATTCTTTTGTTATATATAAACGTTTTTATTATTTTTATTTATAGCATTTATAGATGATAAAAATACAAAAATAAAAGAAAAATCTAAAGCAACATATATGTTGGATATAAAAATACTAACTACAAGAAGGGTTTATTTTAATTTAAAATAGATATCATGTAATGTTTTAAAAAAAATTATTATAATAAGAGGTATTTATTCACCATATACAGTTCCTATTATGATTCTAATAATCAGATGAATAAAATTTATTCATAAATCTAAATATCTAAATCAATTTGATTAGAATCTATAAATATGATAATTTATAATAAAATAATGTTAATGTTGATATTGATATGAATTTTATAATTAATTATTATTACTATTTAAATTCATTTGATTAAAATCTATAAATATAATTAATAAATAAAAAACAATATTGATATTGATATTGAATTTCAAAATTAATAATCAAATAATTGATTACAATTATTAATACAATCTAAATCAATTGATTAAATTCTATAAATATGATAAAATAATGTTAATATTGAATTTTAAAATTAATAATCAAATGATTGATGATAATTACCATTATTATTACCAATAATTGTAACTTTATTGGAGTTTACAGGTTGAGGAAGATTTGTAAAATTCAATAATCTACTTGTATAAACAGCAT